GGGGGAGAGGGGGTTAGCATACACTTAGTGATTTTACCCTTTTAAACATTTCGGATAATATGTAACTTTTCTTTATAAGTACAAATTTTTAGAATTGGGGCATTCTGAGAAAAAACTTAAATAATACTATTTAAGTCCAAAGAAGCCTATCCTTAGCAAATATGAACTTTTTCCAGTTCCATGAATGAAAGTCATCAACATAGTATGTCCATGAAAACAAAAATGGAGCGGCAATCTTTGAATTTTTTACTAGCAAAACCTATGTAGTAAAAGCAAATCTAGAAACTCAGCTAGCTTTGCCTCTAGCCACCATAAACAGGCTGTGGTCTATATACTTGAATAGCAATTTGAACAAACATACTCACTTATAGGATATTTGTATCTAAAGTTTATCTCTAGCAAGTTGCAGATATCACTTATTTCTCACTTTTTGATCAGCAAAAGGTAAACCCACTTATTCCTCACCTGACATCATATGCTCATACCCTTCATCAAAAAAAAAAAAAAAAAAAAAAAAACTATCATATGCTCACAATACTACCTTGGAATTCAACAACTTTAGGCATAAAGACGTGCCAATTTGCACATTTTGATTTTCTTTTGATCAATTATGTAACTACAGACCGTGCGTCAAAAATCTCAAAAAATGAGATGTGGCATAAACTAATATAAAGATGTGTCAAGATAGTATAAAGCATAATATATGATAATTTGTAGCAACAATGAAGCTGATTTAAATTCACCTTTCTACCTAAGTTGCTCGGACTCGGATGCGGGTATCCGATACGGGGACGAATCCGAGTATCAGATTCGGCAAAATCTAAATTTTAAGATTCGGGGATGCGGATCCAGATATGGATACGGGTGCGGGGATTCGGCTAAGAAAATTCAAAATAAAAAAAATAGCTATATGTTTAGTAGTTTTAAATTTTTATTTACCACATAATTACTACAAAATTAATATACTTTGTTGCAAATACTATGTGAAGTAAAAAAAAATCTTCTAAAAAATTACTCATTGATGTTAACAACTATTTTGTTCAACATGATAAAGTACCGTCATTTTCCAATTGCAATATAGAAATTACTTCAAAAGAACGGAACGGCTACTGTTAAATCAATAATATTTGAATACTAAACAAGGTTTGGTGACAAACATGAGTGACCTTGGAATGTGCAAAATTATTATTATATTATTTTTTACATTTAAGAGTTCTTTAGGCATGAGAATCGAGTACATGACAGTATCTAGTTTATGACAGTTGTTCTCCTCTCTCAACTTAATACACTCGTCAATATTAATTGTCTTGCAATATCCACAGATTTTTAAAAGAGATTTACCTAATGCACTAAACAAGGTTTGGTGGCAAACACGAGTGACCTTGGAATGTGCAAAACACTAGTGCATTTATTATTATATTATTTTATTACATTTTCTTTACACCTAAAGGAACTGCAAATCACCTTTCCCCAACTTCTTTCAAGCTTGTACAGATGCTCAAAATTCCCCAATTTCTTTCAAACTCTAACAAATCAGAACATAACCCTTGAATTCTTGGTTTCTCTGACACACAAAGCAGCAAATATGAAACAAAAATACTACAAAATTGAAGGTATGCTATTTTTCATAACTTAAATCTTTTTATTTTTGAATTTGAGAAATCAAAATCTCAATTTTTCTCCCAAATCTGTCGATGGACTCCGGTCAAAGTGTCTGAAGTCAGTTGATTGAATCCGGGACGTATCCCGCTCCCGTCCCAGTCCCGTATCTAGACGGGTACGGCACCAAAATAGGCGAGTCCGTGCAACTTAGCTTTCTACACTCGAATGATAGACTTTATTCAACAACGGAACAAACCAAAATCTAAATGTTTCCAATCACCCACTTTTAGTCTAATTAGCTGTTGAAATCACCCCAATGACTGCATATCTGCTTCCCTACAGCAACTCTGTTAGATACCAAAACAGGTTTAGGAATCCAGTAATTCTCTTTCCCATACTTTGCGATGATCACATCTTTTCAGAGTTCCTTTTTGCTATCATTCAATCTCCACAACCACTTACATAGTAGGCTCTTACAGTTTTAGATTCTTCACCCCTAAACCAACTCCTTTCTTGCCTTCTATCACATTTTTCCAATTAACCAAGTGCATATTCATCTTTTCCGAGTTTCCTTCTCATAAAAAGTCACATCTCAGCTTGTGAATTGGATGGTACAAATGAGAGAGAAATGCCCTTACTTATAGGGTAGAAAGCTCATGCTAATGTCATCAATGACATCAACAAAAAAATACAAAACTCAAACTTTGCAATGTAAATTCATTTTAAGGCCGGCTGGCCAAATCCAAACTTGATGCAGATTTTATGGTTGACTTTGACCTTCTTGCCAAAAGAACTTGAGAATGGAGGGGGGATCTTTTACTTGAGTCTAGAGGCTTGACCCCACAAATCTTCCCTCCAGCCTCAATTGATTTCTTCAAGAACTTGGATTGCAGCAAAAGGAGTATATTGTCTATTGTGATAATCAAAGTGCAATAGACTTGAGTAAAAACTCCATGCACCGTCCAATAAGGAAACACATCAACGTCAGATATTATTGGATTAATGATCTAGTAGAGAACGAATTCCAAAAAGATCCACACGAGCAAAAGTCATGGGAATATGTTGGCCAAGGTTATCCCGAGAGACAACTTCAAGTATAATAAATAGACTTGTCCCACTATCTAAGAAATCAAAGATACCTCATATAGGTGCATGGGTATGGAGGGGGAGATTTGTGAGTTCCAACCCAACTAAGCCCATTGATAAAGGAAGAATCTCTTCTTTTTGGCAAGAAAGTCAAAACAATAAAATCTTCAGCAAGTTTGAATTTGGCCAGCTGACCATTAAATGAATTCAAAATGCAAACTAAGAATTTACATTTTCCATCGATGTCACCAATGACATCATCACAGGTATTCTACTCCTATAAATAGGGGCAGTTCTCTCTCATTTGTATCATCCCATTTTAAGAAAATAAATCTATGAGGAAAAACAAATAGAGTATTGAATGGTTTTATTGTGAGGATACTTCAAAAGTGGAATTACTTTTGCATCTCGAGGACTTTGTGACTCGAGTGAAGAGTATAATCGCACTATAGTAATATTATTTTGACTCTCTCGGGCCTAGGTTTTTCGTTAGATCTTGGTGTCCTTATTTCTCCATTTTAGTACGGTTATTTTCCCCGTACATATTTCTGCAGGTATTTTGTGGGTCCCAACAGTCTTAAGACAACGTAACAAAATACAGGACTTTTGCAAGTGTTCTGTTAACAAAGTAATTCTATGCCTACTCCTAGCAGAAATATTTCAGTTGTGTTGAGAGTCATATCTAAAACTTAGTTTCATAATAACGGAAAATCCGAACGCTTAAACCTCATCAAACAAAATTGAAAGTACTTTAGTACTTTACAAAAGCATTGGAGAAGAGTGTTCCCTTCCATTATGACCTCATGCAGACAGGAAATTTTTTATAGAAACTTTTCAGCATACCAGATATAAATGATTGGATGAGAAACAACAACCTAAATTTCTTTTCCAAGTGCCAAGTACATTTATTTGCGTTTGTCTATCATTAAGCTTAGAGAAATGAAGCAAAAAACTATACTCGAGAATTCCAACTGAGAACAAAGTCTAAGGTTGACGTTAAGTTCTTTTGCTGCTTTGTTCATTGTGGGTTAAACCTTTCATTTCACTTTGTTCTCTGGTTTCATGGTACTAGCCATCATAAAGATCTGGAAGAGGACAAGAATAGACCATAATCGCCTAAATCCCCAGAGTTCTAGCATCATGCGCATCAGAATCTCCTCAAAGATTCATCGGATTGATTCCTCAACCCATACTTTACAAATTTACATTCATCTTCAGAAAAATATTATGTTCTCAACGTTATCATCAAGAATACTATCGGGGTATTCAGACAGAGATAGATAGGGTTTGTTTGGAATGAAGGAAAAATACTAATTCTCCGGTGTTTTGTCATCTAAAACGTTTGGGAAAATATTTCCCTACAGAACACATTCTCCTCTAATTTCCGGCAAATAACTTCCTTTAGAAGAGTGGGGAAGTCATTTTCCAGAGATACAATTTTCCCTATGTTGCGCGGATTCTCCAAACTGTAGCAGCATCCGTGCGGATCCTTCAAAAATGATCTACTTTTGGAGGATCCGACACGTATCCGGGCACATTTTCAGAGAGTCCGAGCAACATAAAATTTTCCAAGCTTCTGATCTATTTTCTAGTTCGCCAGACAACAGGTGAAATGGATAGACTGGAGGGGGTGGTAAATGACCAAACTAACCTTGCACTTACTAGTTTGGATGGCAGATTCCCCATTCCCGTATGGATTTTCCATGATGAACCGTAAGGCTAACTGTGGGCTGGACAATATCCAACTGGTCCAAGGTCATTTCAGTTGGATGCTCATTTCTAGAAATTACTTTCTACTCACCAATCAAATATTAGAAAATATTTTCCGGAAATTATTTTACACTCACCAACTGCACTCTGAAAAATAAGTTAAAATACTACTTAAGAAACATTTTCCAAGAAATCTATTTTCCATGGAAAAACATTTTCCTTTGTAACAAACACACTCAATCTCTAATTTTCAAATGATGCAACATATTCTGATGCTTCCCCTAATAAAAGGGGCATTAAAGGCACAAGGAGGTCACTAATTTCAACAAAAACAAATTTTTATCAAAAAGAGCTAAATGGTTTTTGCATATCCTATATCCAAATTTCAAACAACTTGGTCCCCAACTTACCCAAACAGATATATCCAACCACACAAAACACACACTCATTATATCAATCAACTATCATCAATTCCAATTAGCTTTCCACTCGGCTTATTCAGATATGTATGTCTATTCAGTATACACACATGGGCTAAGTTGCACGGACTCGCCTATTTTGGTGCCGTACCCGTCTCGATACGGGAGCGGGAACGGGATACGTCCTGGATTCAGTCAACTAACTTCAGACACTTTGACCGGAGTCCATCGACAGATTTGAGAGAAAATTTGAGATTTTGATTTCTCAAAATCTAAAATAAAACAGATTTAAGTTATGGAAAATAGCATACCTTCAATTTTATAGTATTTTTGTCTCATATTTGCTGCTTTGTGGGTCAGAGAAATCAAGAAGTCAAGGGTTATGTTCTAATTTTGTAAGAGCTTGAAAGAAATTGGGGAATTTTGAGCATCTGTACAAGCTTGAAAGAAGTTGGGGAAAGGTGATTTGCAGTTCCTTTAGGTGTAAAGAAAATGTAATAAAATAATATAATAATAAATGCACTAGTGTTTTGCACATTCCAAGGTCACTCGTGTTTGTCACCAAACCTTGTTTGGTGTATTTGGTAAATCTCTTTTAAAAATCTGTGGATATTGCAAGACAATTTATGTTGATGAGGGTATTAAGTTGAGAGAGGAGAACAGCTGTCATAAACTAGATACTGTCATGTACTCGATTCTCATGCCTAAAGAACTCTTAAATGTAAAAAGTAATATAATAATAATTTTACACATTCCAAGGTCACTCATGTTTGTCACCAAACCTTGTTTAGTATTCAAATATTATTGATTTAACAGTAGCCGTTCCGTTCTTTTGAAGTAATTTCTATATTGCAATTGGAAAATGACGGTACTTTATCATGATGAACAAAATAGTTGTTAACATCAATGAGTAATTTTTTAGAAGAATTTTTTTTACTTCACATAGTATTTGCAACAAAGTATATTAATTTTATAGTAATTACGTGGTAAATAAAAATTTAAAACTACTAAACATATACTCCCTCCGTTCCAATTTATGTGAACATGTTTGACTGGGCACGGAGTTTAAGAAAAAATGAAGACTTTTGAAATTTGTGGTCCTAAACAAGTCAAAAAGGGGCCCAACATATTTGTGTGGTTATAAAAGCTTCTCATTAAGGGTAAAATTGTAAGTTTAAGCTAAATTGTTACCAAATTTAGAAAGGGGTCATTCTTTTTGGAATGGACCAAAAAGGAAATAGGTTCACATAAACTAGAACAGAGGGAGTAGCTATTTTTTTTATTTTGAATTTTCTTAGTATGGGGTTGAGTGTTGGCCTGTATGGGACTGAGTGTTGGCCTGTTAAGAACTCACATGTCCAGAAGATGAAAGTAGCAGAAATGAGGATGCTGAGATGGATGTACGGGCACACTAGGATGGATAAAATTAGGAATGATGATATTCGGGAAAAGGTGCACGTGGCTCCCATTGATGACAAGATGTAGGAAGCGAGGCTCAGATGGTTCGGGCATGTTCAAAGAAGAAGCCCAGATGCTCCGGTAAGGAGGTGTGAGCGAATGGTTGTGGAGGGCACGGGAAGAGGTAGAGGACGGCCTAAGAAGTATTGGGGAGAGGTGATAAGGCAGGATATGGCGAGGCTTCAGATTTCCGAGGACATGACACTTGATAGGAAGATGTGGAGGTCGAGTATTAGGATTGTAGGTTAGGAGATAGTTGAGTCTTGCCTTACTTCGTACCTTTATAAGACTAGACTGGTAGGGTTTTGGTCTAAGATAGCCGGTATCAATGTTGTGTCTTACTATTTCGCTTTTCAATGCATGACCTATTTGCGTTGCATCTTTCTTCTGGATTTCATGTTGTTACTATTTTTCCTATGATTTCTGTGGTGATACTAATATTGTCTCCTTTTGTCTTTTTGTTTTCTTGAGTCGATGGTCTTTCGGAAACAGCCTCTCTACTCCTTCGGGGTAGGGGTAAGGTCTGCGTACACATTACCCTCCCCAGACCCCACTAATGGGATTTTACTGGGTTGTTGTTAGCCCAATCCCCGCACCCGTATCCATATCTTGATCTGCATCCCCGTATCGGATACCCGCACCCGAGCCCGGGCAACTTAGCACATGTGAACCAATGAATTTCAATCAAACAATCTAAGCAAGAAGTCGCTGGCCCCTAGTTTGGATCGTGACAAATTAGGGACAAGACCCTGAGTCCCAAAAGACGTATGTTGACGCATAGGGGTCAGGCCAAAGCGGACAATACCTTGGCCGTTGGGCCTAGGCCATGACACAGGATCATCCAGCTCATATATTTCCCAACATTGAACAAAATTTTCAAGTAAGTCAACACGTCTAAACAAAAGATCGCACCTTTATAATCAAATGACTTACGGAATTATTGTTTTGGTAGCTTACAAATTTTTCAAGCAAGTCAACACGTAAAACAAAAGATCACGCCATTATAATTGAACAACTTACAGAATTGTTCGGTTTAGTAGCTGATGGTTTAAAAGGACAAGCAGGAGGTGCTCTTTCCGGTCTCTGATACTCCTTTCCAAACATTCTATAAATCTTTGCCTAAAAAATCCACACACAAAAAAAAAAAACGAAAAATTAACGTCGTAAGCATCAAAATTAACTGGTTAATTTAGCTTTTAAAGATCTTACCATGAGAATATGGAATAGAACAGGTAATAAATTAACGATCGGGACGAGGAACAGCGGTATTAAACACGCTACGCAGACCTATAATTTATGCGAAAAATGAAAAATCAGAAAATGATATAAAAAAGATTATGGAATTAAATTAAGGATAGAGAAATGGATTTGATCCTTACCATTTTTCGATTGATTTAGAAGGATTTGTTCGTTGTATCGAGAAGAAAAGATGACTCTGTCTACTTTTGCGTCAAAGAGTCGACTTTTGAATGAGATCCGAAACTTCTATTTTAGGAGCTACCGAAGACAAATACCTATCCATATTTACCCACAATCTCTAAACTAATTAAAATTTAGCCACTATCTAATACGAAAATAAAATTGAACTTTTACATGTGAAACTATTATCCGGTTTGGTCAAGCTTCTCCAATCCTAAAAATACATTTACGGCCTTTTTTGGACCAAAAGTTTTTTTTTTTTTCAAAAATTGACGTGTTTGGCCAAGGAAAAAAAAAGTAATTTGAGAAGAAGCAGAAGCAGTTTTTGAGAAGCAGGAAAAATTAGTTTATATTCAAAAGCACTTTTTTGAGAATCATTTTTTGAGAAGCACTTTTGAGAAAAATACATTAAGAAACACTTTTTAAAAGCTTATCCAAACACTAATTATTGCTCAAAAGTATTTTTCAAATTAATTAACCAAATACAAACTACTTATCACTCAAAATAAGTTGATTTTGCATGTTTGGCCAAGCTAGAAAAATCTGCTTATTTCCAAAAGTGCTTTTCGAAAAAGTTCTTTTGGAGAGATGCAGTTTTGTTTGGCTAATCAATCTAAAAGGCGCTTTTGAGCAATAATTTGTGTTTGGCCAAGCTTTTCAAAAAGTGCTTTTAAGAATCAAATTACGAATAAGGACATGAAGAGATTTACTTAGCAGTTAATATTATATGAATAAATAAATAATCTCAAATATTTATTATTAAAGATAATAATTAAGTTTTTCTATTTTATTCAAGTAAAACATGATAATAAAATTAAAAAGTACTTTAATTCTTTCAGGATGATTTAAATATATCAAAAAATTAATTAACAAATATAAAAGCATTCATCCCAAAAGTTATCATATATTAGAAAGCTATCCTAAAAATAAAAATAAATATTTACATTAGGAGAGTTAAATAATATATTCTCTAGTTCTAAGTATTAGGTTTAAAATAGGTAAGGTTATTTTGATATATACCATATTTTATTAAGGGTATTTTTGGTAAGAATAAAAGTCAAAAATGTTTCCGCTTCTGTTTATGGGGAGAAACTGCTTTTTCTGCTCTAAAATTGTTTCTGTTTCTTCCCAAAAGCATTTTTTTCAAAAACGGCTTGGCCAGAACACATCAAGTTGAGAAAAAAAAGTGTTTTTTGAGAAAAAAATACACTTTTGAGGTTGGGAGAAGCGTGGTCAAATAGGCTATAAGAAGCAGTTTTTAAAAGCTTGGCAAAATATTAATTGATGCTGAGAATTATTTTCCAAATTAATTAGTCAAACATAAACTGATTTTCACCAAAAGTACTTTTTAAAAAAAAAATATTTTTCAAAATAAGCTGATTTTTGCAGCTTAGCCAAACAAATTAATATCACGATATATTGAAGTTTCAAACTTTTACATGTAAAACTCCAATATAATATGCGGCTATTTCAAACTTTTGTTGGAGTGTGCTGGAATTCGTTTCAAACTTTTGAAAATTTCCTTGAGGAGAAGTTCTACTTCCACCATTGAAAATTCAATGAAAATTTTCTAGAGTTTCACTTATAAATTCTACGACTGGTACCTACAACGCCACAATTTCAAATGTACAAAGAAAAATCATAATGGATAACTTTATGAATAATAGGTGAGAAAATAATGAATAATTTAATACATGGTACCTCAAAAAATAATTTGAAATATACAAAGAAAACGATAATAGAAGAATTGCATGGGTGGTATCTTAGAAATAATGGAATAATTTCATGGGTTTAAACTCCATGATTTTCTTGGAGTTTGAATTGATAAAGGGTCAAACTCTATGAAAATTTTCTATAGTTTTTCCTGTGTTTTACGTAGCTTGGATTATTTTTGTTTAATCTCTTTTTTTAGATTAAGAAGTAACTATTTCTCAATTATAGTTCAAACGACGGTTAAATATTAACAAGTGGTACATACAAACACTGGCTATCCAACGTTATTTTTACAATAATTTTATGGGAAAAAACTTACCCGCACCGGGTGTTTACACCAAGTCAATAGATAAATGACATGTGTCTTGCATATGGACTTCAATCATTTAACCATGGTAAATTATATGCATTCTCATCTAATTAAATTAGTTAACAATAGTGAGTTAATGTAGTTTAGTATAAACACCCGGTGTGGGTAAGTGTTTACCAATTTTATGTCTTTTTTAAGAATGACATTTAATTTTGTCCTGAGTTTCAATACTTATCCTGAGTTTGATTGGAGAAATTTCAGAATATGGTTTGAATTTCGAGTTATTTGATTTTGGGTTTTATCTATTCTTTAATTAATTTGTTATTGTGTGTATGCAGTGTCCCAATTGGAGAAGAAGAAAGGGGGAGATCAGATGAGTGGGAGTGAGTGTGATAGATACTATCCATTTTTGTAAATGGGTCGGATAAGGTAAATGGGTTGAAATAATATCCATTTTTGTTCCAGTCAAAGATTATCACGTGGCCCAATTAAAAATCGTCACGTCATTAAATGAAAGACCCACCAGTTCTGTTGTTAGTCGCGGGGGTATTTTTGTTAATAGAATTAACTTCGTGTGTTTTTTTGAACGAATAGATGGACGAAGTATATTTTTTTGAACGGATAGATGGACAGAGGGTATTTATAGACCATTTAGCAAATGATAGGGATAGTTTTGGCCCTTTTACGTTATTTTTATGTAATAAATATGTAATTCTTCGCGGGAAAGACAACACGACGAATGTTATACGTTATTATGTATTTTTGTTTGCAATAAATATTCAAATAGATCAACTCAATTTCCCCCATTTCAACTATTTATGGGAGGGTTTTGAAATTAAGATTTTGGTTTTTTGAACTATCGAACAAAATATAATTAAAGCAAACTGATTACTTGATATGTTACATCATTTATTCATCTCTAATTTATCTTTATGTCAAATGCATAGCTGAAAATCTATAAGTGAAATTGCAAATTTATCTTTTACTTTCCTTAAAGAAGTATGGCAATTCTCAAAGCCAAAATTCAGCATGTTCTATTTTCCTAACAAGTATGGCAATATAAGTAGGCGTTTGGACATAAGAATTGTAAAATTCGAAAAAATGGTGAAATTTTTTTTAAGTGAAAATGGTATTTGGAATTTAGAATTGTGTTTGGACATAAATTTCAATTTGTGTTGTTTTTGAAGTTTTGTAAGTGATTTGAGTGAAAATTTTGAAAAATAACTTTTTGCAGTTTTTCAAATTCGAAAATTTCCAAAATGCATCTTCAAGTGAAAATTGGAAATTTTATGAACATTTCGAAAAGAAAACAAAAGTGAAACTTTTTTGGAAAAATCTTCCATCAAATTTTATGTCCAAACGGGCACTAAAGTTGTCCCTTAATAAACAAGTATGGCGATTTTAAATCCCAAAAATCACCATGTGTTTTGGATGATATTCTTTTTTTTTTGTGGTAAGTAAATAATTTTATTCACAAACCAGTAGAAGTTTTGGATAATATTCCATTGAAGCTGGACAAACAAACTTAAAATTGAAGTTGAAAAAGAGTTTTTGAAAGGTATAGAGTATTTGGATATGAAAGAAGGTAATTCCACACCAGAGTTAAATGGGAGCTCCCGGAAGGGGTCACTATAGACTCACTACAGATGGGGCTGCCAAGGGTAACCCATGCACTAGGAAAATTGGTGGAGTATTCAAGGATAATAATGGAGATTGGATTATGGGTATATGAAAAAAATACCCCATACCACCAATACCATGGCAGAACTGAAATCCCTTCTTAAAGGACACCATCTAGCAAAACAAAATGGCTAGATCCCACTAGACATAAATACATATTCAGCTGAAATAATAAAAATGCTACTCACATACAACACAATTTACAATCTTGTGATTTGTGAATCCAGGTTATTAATGCAAAGGGTGGACAAGGTGACGGCGAGACACACCTACATGGAGCATAATAGGGTGGCCAATGCATTGGCAAATGAGGCATCAAATTCAAGTTTTTTTGGTAGAACAACCATACTGGCAGTTCCTCCGATATTTGCAAATGATGTATTTTGGGCAGACATCGTAGGAACTGAAGTTGTTAGGAATTTTTGGGCATGTATATTGATACAATTGAACAAAACATGGCAGCCCTATGGGAACTACAGTACCTGGCATAGACAATACTATGCAATGTAACTCCTAATTTGTGATGTTTTATTGTTGTTGTTGTTGTTATTATTATTATTATTATTATTATTATTATTATTATTATTATTATTATTATATAAAAAAACATTTCTAAAGTAAAAAACTTTAAATTTTCTATTTCTGAGTTAAAGTTGAAATACTAGATCAAATTGTAAACCAAATATTAATTTGAAAGTGTTATAAATAGAGTTTTATTTAAGGTGAATGTCTATATTCTAGAGAGATTGTAGAGATTTTACTTGATGGCTAAGTCATTTTTCTCCTATAAATAGAGGTGTTCTATTTCATTATAATTGATCTCATATCGATAAGAATCTTCTCTCTACTTTTCTCTGCAATACTCATCTTCCTCTTTTATTGTTTCATAATATGTTATAGACTCTAACCAATTGAGTAGAAGCTTTGGGATTGAGCATAATGATTGACAATTGTTCCATGAACTTCCTTCACGATTAAATTCTGGATTTAAGGTAAGTATTTTACTTTATTTTTCCCTTTTAAATTCTTGACATTATATAATTTGATTTTAAATACAAGCAAAGATGATAAATTTTAATTGTAACTTTAATGGAGTTTGAAAGAAATTATAACCACCCAAAGTGATAAAAAATTTATGTCTTTCCATGATCAAATTTTATGTATGATTGTGGGCAAAGAATTGAAAACTCGGCCCATTGAATATATTTAATTCTTGTTCCCTTAAGAGAATATGGTAGCAATAGGTAATAAGTCTGAAAGAAGACAAAATTATTACAGTGAAGGTATCAATGGATGTGGGCATGACAATAGACGGAATTATAATCGTCATCATTATGATAATGAGAATAATAAGGATTCTCAAAATAATCTTTCACTATGTGAAAGTAAT